GCTTTGAATTCAATGCCCCAGAAAATCCTCATTGCCCATAGAAATAAAACTCCCAAGTGAAAATGAGTAAAAATGACTAATTTGAGTCACCGGGACTGTTGAGTTTTGGGGGTAGCCCTTTGGATTCCCAGGTGTAGGCATCAATGAAAGCCAGACCTGTAGGAAACACTGAAACCAGAAGCAAAGTTTGATTTGTGAGTGACTGAAACAGAATATTTTGTGTGTGAGGGCTCGTGTAACAGGACTCAGCTACAGCAGCAAGAGGTGAAGTTGTGCAAGTTGTCCTCAGCCCCCAGCCCACCTCGCTGTTCAGATGAGCTTCCCTTTGGATCTTACATTACCCTGGAACACTGCACTGGTGGGAATTTTGACTGGACATGACTGGAGGGGGGAGGCAAGTCCATGAAACTACAGAGCAATGACCAGCCTGTGTATGGGGAAACTTGAGGAACTGTGTTCACAGGCTGATAAAGGCTGCAAGTACTTCATGGAACGTGGGAGATGCTGTTCTGCACAGAATCCCTGTGGGGGGATTGCTGGGCTGTCTGTGCAGGGCCAGCAGTTGGACTCGATCCCTGTGGGTCCCTTTCAGCTCAGTCTGTGATTCTGTGATCCTTTTAAGACTGATCAAACATTATCCACTTGAAATAAGGACACTTATTGTGTGGAAAAGTGGACATTACAGTTCTAACAAACCTGTTGGTTTAGTTCTGCTTGACTGGGGTATTTCAGTGTCATAAAAGGGATGGTAATTTATCAGCAATTGGGTTTTGGTGTGGGCAAAATGTTCTATGCAGTACTTAGACTGTGTAAGTTCTGTCAGGGATGCACTGTGGTGTGTGAATGTGTTCCCAGAGGTAATTTAGTGACATAGTAGCTGTTGCATCTTCTTCATCTTGCATCATATAAAATGAAGTATTTTTATTAAAAGTTCCATTTGATGTTCTCTCTTCACACCTTAAACTAAAAAGTTAAAAAGTGTCAAGTCTTTATGGGTCTATCCCGATGGAATTTTAATGGAGAACAGGGTGCCTGTTAGCAAGGAACATTAGCTTTGTAATGAGACTTTGTAACTTGGATATTGGGAACGTTAAGTAGTATATTTCCATTGAATTTCATTATAGCACTTGCACCAAAATTGTTAAAATCACACTTGCAGGCACTGGAGTGGAGCTACTTGGTTTGTGACTTGATATAAAACTTATGAGCAGCGTGTTAATTTATTAGGAAAATAAAAAGTGAGGTTCATTTTGATCATATGGTCGTTTCCTAATGTGGAAAAGGAGATCTGTTTAATGCATTTTAGAGGTTTTGAACTGACGTCTTCTCTACTTTTAGACGGAAAAAAGTGTTCCAACATTTTTCCACAATACTTTGGGCTTTGAGACTGTACAGAAGTTGTTGACATCTTTAAATCAGAGCTCTTATTTCACATGTCTGCTGTTTTTTCCTCATTTAAAATGGTTTTCAGTGTGCCAAGAGAAGTAAAATTAGGGCCTTGAAATGGAGAGTTTGGGATTCGATGGTAAGAGAAGGGTCATGTTACTAAATATGCAATAGCTGCAGGGATCTCTTTTGTTCATTAGGAAATGGGAATGTGTGTCTGCTGAATTAGTCAGATATATTATTATTAAGTAGTCTTTTTACATGGTTGTTTATACCTTTTTCACTTTCCAAGAAGACAGTACGAGCGTTGTGCAGGTTTTGAGGGGAGGTTACACAGGTCACTGCTCTTTCTGGGCCACTAAAGCTTCAAATGCAGCCAAAACCAGCTTTTAAAGGAAGTGTCCTTAAAAACATGCACTCTTTCCAAAGTGTTGGCTTCACCTCTGTGGTTGGGACGTTCAACAGGATGGTCAGAGTATGGTTCTGACCCCCTTGAAGTGGTGATTTGACCCAAAGTTTGGCTTTCCAAAACCTGACTTCAGCAAGGAGTGGGAGCATGAAAGGTAACACGTTGGCATTGCACGTTCAGTGCTGCTTTGACATTGGTTGCTCGAGGCTGTAAATCCAAAGAGGATATAAGCAGGTCCCTGAGATTACATTTTTAGGTGCCTACACTTCCAAAATGAGTAGAGATTTGGAATTGTCCTAAGGAAGCTTCCAGAGCACCAGATATTGTATTGGACCTGCAATCTGCAGACTTGTTCTCTGCAAACAGGAAGTTACCAGAATTATTGAGTTAAATTATTTTGCCTGTATTTCTACTGTTTTACTGTCTGTAGTTTTGTCTGAAAACTGTATACATTGGAATATAAACATAGTACTTTAATTAGAACATGTTTTTTCATGAGAGTTTCAGCTGGTTAGCACTGGTATTACTATACAGCACAAACGATAAACTGTTTATTTTCTTGCTGTGATGCAGCTGTTTATAAAGCTGTGGCTTGAGAGAGATCTTCAAAGTTCATTGATTTCTTTCAGTAAAAGCATAACCAAGTTGTTGGTAAAGAAAAGATAAAATCCTGCTTGCCAGTTGTGATTTTTGTTCTTCCTGAATGCCAAGGGGTGTTTGCAGTAACATGTCTGGGGCATGTTCCAGAGCTGAAATTCAGAAATTGTATCAGCCACTCTCTGTAGTGTTTCTGTAATGGAGAATTTCCTGGGTGAAGTTCACTTTGTCTTGGGCAAATCGAAAGCAAGTGGTCACACCTTAACTCCCTTTTGGGGTGAAGTTGGGGGATTTGTTGCTTTGTCACCAGGGGATCTCTGTTCTTTATTAAGTTGAAATGGAAAGTGGAGAAGGGTGTGGACTGTGAGCTCAACATTTTTGGGGTCTCAGAGGTTCTAACAGCCTCAACATGTAGGCATTAATAATAAAAGTCTCACTTCAGGAGGCATTTGGTGACTTTATTTCTCTGAGGTTTTGGTAGGGTTTTTTTGTAAGAAAGATCTTTTACCTTGCTTAGAGAAAACATTCCTTCAAATTCAGAAAGCTGCCCAAGCCTCCATGGTAACAACCATATTTTGCTGGACACCTTTGCAGTTTTTATCCTACCAGAAATGCATTTCCCTGTGCCCAAAACAACCTCTCAGGCAGATCCTCAAAAGGTCTGTCATCTTTTAACGAGTAGAAAAATCCTTCTCAAAACCAGTGACAACGTCAATACCTTTTGTATGGATCTGGTGATGACCACAGGATGTCATCTGCTACATTTCCATTTATAATGGGACCTCTGTGAAGGGTTTAGCAAGTCTTGTCAAAATTCTTGTGTGTGATGCACGAGCCAACAGTGCAAGTCAGAACTTGGATATCTAACAGCCAGAGAGTCTAAAACCCCAAAATTCCTCTTATGCCACAAAGCATTGTGGTTCTGGAATTGTTCTGGCTATTGAATCCTTACCTCAGCTATTCTGGGTCTCTTAGTGAGTTTAAAATACCTTACCCCTCATAGTGGCAACATTTACATTACATCCTTGTATTCAGAAATATTTACCTTGCGTTCATCTGTGGCTGGAGTAGTGAAAACTTTGCACTCAGGTTCCTGCTGCACTGTCAGTAGTTTCCTCTCTGAAAGGGCTACAAAATTCTCTGCAGTCTTAGCAGCTTGCAGCTGGTTCTCTCTTGAATTTAGCTGTGAAAAGAAGCTGCAGCTCCTTCTGTGTGTGGAGAACAGGAGAAGTGAGAGTATTGCTGAGTCCCCAAATCCAACTGTGTGTCAAAATTGTTACTTTGGTGGTTTAACAGTTCCTCCCAATAACCCCATTCCCATCAGGGACTTGAGGCTCTCCCAGTTTCTCTCAGCTGAGCATCTTCTCAGACTAAAAGATCAAGTGCTGCCAACTCCTGTAAAACTTAGGAATTTTTCAAGGGACCTGCATGGCTGAGGTTCAAACGAGTTCGTTCAATTCCACAAGAATATCTGTTGGCTCATTTTTTACTTCATAACATTTTATAAGACTTCTGAGTCTGGTAATACTTTAACAGAACTGTATTCCATTCTCAGTCTCAGAATCACAGAATATTCTGAGTTGGAAGGGACCCACAAGGATCATCCAGTTCAATCCTGTGGCCTTCTTGAAGTATATTAATATATTAAGTATAACCACATATACACATCTATATATGCGTAGTGTATTCATGTATTCATATAATATATATATTAATTTCCAATGTAAGCCTGCAAAACTTAATTATTTGCTTAGGTGTATTTTAGAGAATAAACAGTCCCTATCGGGGTTTTGTGTTGAGTTATCCCTGCGTATTTTTATCCTACTGGTGGCCAAATATTCCGTTTGTTCCCATATTTTTCTTGACCAAGAATGATCAGGTCGCTTCACTATGTCTTATTGTGACAAACTGTTTAATGGTGATAATCCCATTGGCTTTTTTTTATAAAACCCTTTGATTATAAATACATTATAAAATCACTGTTAAAAGGTAGTGGGAGTTTGTGTAATAAAGCCCATTCCACTTCCAGTGTAGTTGGCAATTTTGAGGAGTGGACAGATTTAAGCTGCTTCCATTTGACATATGGAAAAGTTATCCAGGTTGAATTGCCTGTGTATTTCTTAAGTGAGTAAGAAGCTATTTGTTGCATACCCTTCACCCCTTGGCTTTTTTCTCCTTCTTGGTCTTCTGCCTCTGCTACTGTTGTGTTCTCATTCCAAAATGGTTTTCCTTCAGTCTCCCTGTTTCACTACTGTGATATTATATTTGCACCATAAACTTTAGGTCATGTCATGTTATTGAGGGGCTTCTGGAGGAACAATTTATCCCACTGTGCTTTCAGGTGAGCCTGATACTCATTGTATTTAACCCCCAAAGGAATACTCTTAGACAAATTAATTGCATGGAATTCACTTTTATGACATCTTAAGAGTGAAAAAGTATGTACTGGAGAAAAAAGGATGTTAATGGTCTCAAGAATTCATCTGTATTTTAGCTGTGTTATATCCCCCTGCAAATCCAGTGGAGATTTTCTAGTGGTTCTTAATGAGTCTGAATGTTTTGATAAGAGAAGAATTCTATTTGAATGAAAATACTTGCAACAATGTACGGTGGTTTATTACATTTATTATAAGACTACATCAAATATTGTAATACAACAGGTTTTTACTTGGAAATCCCTCCTTGGGTCCATCTGTGTATTCAAAATGCTTAGTGAGGCTTCTGAGAGCACCGCTCAGCAGTGCTGCAAAGGAAATCTGAAGCTGTTAAGAAATAGTCTAAAATTATTCCTTTTAATAATTTAGGGTTCTCAGCCTCTCAGAGCAGTAGTTTGGGAACTTAAAAGGTGTTCTACAAAGACAAAGGAGTATTAACCAAAGTGAAGGGGAATTGAGGAATCAAATGTTGAAAGTGCGCAAGAAATTAAAACAAACCACCTAAACCAGGACGTGGTGTGTAAAAACTCAGCCTGTTGGTGCCACCATTCTTTCCCAAACTTAGCTGATCACTAAGGCAGGACTTCTGACTGTAGCTTATCAGGAAAAATATGCAAAGCAATCATTTTCAGAAATCCATATACCTTAGAATTGTTTCTTACAAGAAATATGTTAGGTTCTGACTGAGTGCAGATCAAGCCCCACTTCAGGTCATGGTCTGTTTGAGTAAGAGAGAGCTTTGGAGATACAAGAGCGTGATTTTGGTTTTGTCTAATCATGAATGTGAAGCTTCAGAGCAAACAAGACTCAGGTTTTCATATGTGCTGTCCACAGCATTCTAAAAGGACCATTTGGAGGCCCTTCCCTGTTAAATGTGTCTGCTCGGGATGCTCGGCTGCTCACACGGTGTGTCCGTGGCAGCAGCTGCTGGGATGTGTGGGGAATGCACAGGGAAACCTTCCCTTCCAGAGTGAGGGCAGTAAAATTGCAGTTCAGTGGTCAAAGTGTGCCCTTTGAAGGGTTTACAATGTGCAGCCACCTCCAGTTTTTATGTGCTTTTAAGAAAATCAGTCCCTGCATTAAGGCATTTCATCCACTGTCCTGATCTGCTCTGAGGAGGAAATGGTTAGAGTGCACACCTACAGGAGGGAAGAACACAGAGTGCTTTGGGGTTTTTTTTAATTCCTCACAGAACAGCCCAGAGAAAGTGGAAAGTAATTATGTAAAAAAATAATAACTGGCCAGTCATCTGTCCCTGTTTCCTACCACCAACCTGCTCTTATGAGGAAGGGCTCAGAATCCAAGAAATACAAAAAATGGTAGAATTACTTTAAATTTTTATTGATATTTTTCTTTAAAATAAAAATATCATCTACTTCTTATAAAAATTTTGACTACTTCAGAGAAAGAATATAATATTAAATTCTGGAGTGGGATATTACAAAAGGTTCTTTTCTATGAACCGAGACATTAAAAACATTTTCAAGAACCAGAACTCTTTTCTAGGGAAATAGATGTGTTTGTAAACACTTGCTTTTTATATCTAAAAAGAAATTCATATTGAATGTGTTTCTGAACCTCCTTTATCAACAATGTCTCTTAGTGGTGATTTATGACTGTCTAGAAGCGTTCAATTAACTACTAACTGGATATTTTAAGGTTTTGAGAAAGTCTAGTTAGTCCTAATCCTATACAGTATAAAAATCTAACAAACCAACTATGGCACAAATGGATGGGACTTATCACTGTGAGTTGAAAAATAATTAAAAAAATAATATATGCTTAGTTTAAATTTTTTAAAAATCCTCATAGAAATTAATTACTCATTCCTGTAAGTCATCAGAATCTGTGTTTGAATACAGGAAGTTTTCAGGGTCATCTAAAACAAATAATTTAACTTTTTTTTTTTTTGCCTTGAAATTTCAGTTGGAAGAGAACTTATCCCTGCAAAATGTTTGGTAGGAAGTCCAGTAGCTGTGTGTGTCTTAAGAAATTCCCTCCTTGCATTGCTAGAATTTTTGTAGCTCAAGGACTTTTATCGCTATCATTTTTAAAGCTGATGTTTAAAATGTCTTGAATTTGGTTAATCAGCTTGAGGATTTATAGTTATATTCCTCTTTTCTAAAATCTAATCTTGTGGAGGGCATTCCTGGGGGCACAGTTTGACCCGCTGGGGTTTAAATGGGAAAGTTTTAATAGAAACAAAAATTGATGACATAACTTTAAGCCTCCATTTTTTTTACATTTAATGTTTTTATAATGAAACAATATGAAGAAAAAAAAAAAACACTACTACTTTGCTCCAGTATATAATACACAGCACCTTATTTATAGTAGTAGCACTAAGCAGACCTGTGAGTGGCAGAGAATAAATAAAGCCGTGTTTCTGGAGATGGGGGGGTCGCAGTGCAGAACTGGGAGGGGGGGGGGTGTTATTTGTTCTTCTGTGGCTTGAGGACAACACTGCAATAGGATCTTATGCATGAAAATGAGTGTGGGGAGAGCTTTCTTGTATTGATGTAGTTGTTTTCGAGGTGGACATGTTCCAAACGTGAATCTTCACTGTCCTCCTCCTCCTCCTCCTCGCTGTCGCTGTGGCTGATGCGAGTCCTGCAGATGCGCTCGGGGGGCACCGTCCTGGGACACAGGGGGAGGGATTGTGTTATAATTATTCCAAACAACCCTCAATGTCATCATTTCATTGTTGAGTTGCTCTGTATTTAGATATTTGAATATACTAATTTAATAAGTAAAAACAGCACAGAGGGACTGGAGAGCAGAGCCGGGCCTGGCTGGAATCTGCTCTTCCAGTTATTTTGGAATCCTTTGGGCTCTGCTCCAAGAGCACAAAAAGCTGGTGCTTGCTGTGCCTGTCAAAGTGTAGCTGCCCCAGGGGACGTGGCCCAAGCACTTTTACAGCTTAATTTCTTGGAGAGAAGTGTTGTGCCACATCTTTGGGAGCATTTTCAACATTATAAGGGAGGGTGAGGTCTTAATTTTATCATATTCAGAAATAGTGCAGAGGAAAATTCAGGATTTAGGTCTTCCTTCAGAATACCTCTAAATAAATATTTACTTTAAAGTGGCAAACTCCTAAAGCAAAGGGTGTCTTCTGGCATTTATTTCAATGCCATCAACCTAACGAAGAGCTTGGAAATTACCTTATTTTATTGTTGTTCAGTCTCAGGAAACGCAGCTTTCTCATTTCATCAATTCCAAAGGGCACAGCCTTAAGTTCATTGTGATCCAAGAACAGCTCCCTCAGGGAGTGATAAGCTCCGAAAAATGACACCGGGTCAATGCCATCATCGGTGAGTTTGTTAAAGGACAGATAGAGATACTCCAGCCCCGGCTTCATGTGGCCAAACACATAACCTGGGATTCTTTCAATCTGGTTTCCTATAAGTACCAGGTGTAGCAAAGATTTTGGCAGGTAGGAGGGAACGTGATAGAGTTTATTGTAAGAGAGATCGATTGATTCCAAGTTCCTGCATTAAAGGAGAAAAAAAAAGGGCTGAAAACTCTCTGCCCCCCATTGGTAATGCTTGATGGGTTGCTGAGGGAACTGAATTTCCAGGGGAAATTTGTTCCTGTTACTGGAACAGGATGCATTATGTGGAACGTGCTCGTGTATAATTGCTCTGGGAACAGAAGCAATTGAAGTCATGAATTAACAATCAAGCACAATGGTTTTGTTGATGGGAAGAGCTCTTCAGTAATGAGGACAGAGGGGGCTGAACGGGGGAATCCCAAGGGACTAATTTGTGTTTGCTGAAGAACACGTAATGAGCTTGGGACTTCAGTCATTTTCCCATTAACAGGGAGTTTTCAACTTTGCTCTAAAGCCCACTTGAAATGGAATTGTTTTGTGAATGAGTCATCCCCACAGTGCTTCACTTCCAGGGATGAGAGATGCTGTCAGTAGTCACAGAGTGGTTGTTCCCAGATTAAGGAATTTACACATCCAGGGATCAGCTGGCAGGGCTGCAGTGCCAGATCAGGCCAGGTACCCTCTGTGGTTTAGCAAATAATTTACCAGGAGGATCAAAAGCAGCACCATCTTTTACTCTTTGCATTCTCATTACTTGTTCTGCTTGTAGACAATGCATGATCATACTTCACCTTATTTACTTTTATAATTTTTAACCTAATGGGAAATAAGGCTAGGACAGTATTAAATTATTTTTAAATTACCTGGGGAATAATTATGTATCAGTACCAAATTATCATATAATTCCATGGAGTATTATTTATAATTGATGTTCACTTTTTTAATGGATGGCCAGAAAAAAATTATCTTTTCATTTGACAGCTGTGTACCTTCTAGATTATACAATTAGGAAGAAGCAATTAAGACAAATTAGCTAAGGAAAACAAACAAATCAAAGGATAATTACAAGTCTAAGTTAAAAATAATGACGTGCAAATATTTATTTTGTTATCTGACTCATTAGTAACAGAGAAAAATAAAATAAATGTCTTTTAAATGGTTGCTACTTACTCTTGGTTTATCCAGGCCAAAGGTGCTATCCTGTGCTCTTCTAGTTGGTTGTGCTTTAGCCCAATGACGTTGATGTTTCTCGTGTGGTTAAAGCAAATTTCTGACACTTCTTCAATTTGATTATTTTCGAGATACAACTCCTGTAAGTGCATTTGGGAAGAAAATTTGTGAGATCAAAATATATACCGGTTTTCCCATTCCTAATTCAAAGTTAGGTGTTGCCTGCCCTCCATATTCCCTGGGATATCTGCTGAATTCCCTGGGATATCTTCCTGAGTCCGAACCAGAGGCAGTTTGGAGCTGCAGTGGGACCATCAGGAACACAATTTTTCAAAGCAGTTGTTTTGTTTTCTCATTTGTGAGAACGCAGATTGCTTTGACAGATCAAATAGAAAAAGAATTGTATCTTTTGGGGTCTTTTTTGGGATGTTGGGTTTTTTTGGGTTTTGGTTGTTGGTGGGTTTTTTTGGTTGTTTTGTTTTCTTTTTACCTCGAGAGTGGCAGGAAGACCTTGTGGGATAATCCTAAATTTATTTCTTCCCAGTCGCAGGTAACAAAGACTTTTCAAAGGATAAAAGGCCAAAGGACTGACATTTGCTTCACTAAGTTTATTTCCTTCTAATTCCAGAGTGACCAAGTTCTTTAAACCTGGGGAGAAAAAGTTGGAGTTTCTGTTAGTTAATTCTGTTAATGGCACCTTGAGTGCTGATAAAATGCACCTTTGTAACGTACGAGTGCTAAATGTTACTCAGAGGAGTTCACAGCAATGAAGAATGTGGTGAAGGGATTTCATTATCTCATAATCGTAGAATTATCTTGTTTATAACTTTGTGGAGCTTTGGAGATCGAGCACAGCTTTATTTATAGTTTCCTCTCCCAGTTGGGTTGGAGAGGGCGGCAGCTGCAGCCCTTGGACAGTGCTCTCATTTTTGCTGGTTGTGCAGCTGATGTGCAGGGCCCTGTGTGGGTGCTGACCTTTGTGCAGCTGCCCAGGGATCCCCACGGGGCTCCACTCACTGAGGGGACAATGGGAATGTTCTCTTCCCTCGGGCTCATGTGCTGAGAGCCCCCAGTGGATTATCCCGTTCCTCCTCCTCAGCATCCAAGTGCAGGGCACGGGGAAGATCAGTGCTGGTCAGTGTATGTTAACAGGAAACATCATTTCATAATAATGTTTCTCATTCACAAATAATCCCAAATAACTTCCTTTTCACAGAAGGCTTGCATTGCTCCTCCTGACGGTGCAGTTTGGGGGTTTTGAGCTAAAAGGCTCCTGCAGCCCTTGGGCTAAGTTTTCTCAGCCTTTAGATTGCTCCAGAGTGAGCTGTGGCACTAAACTGATCCAGTTTAGATGGGACCCTGTTGGCAGGAGATCAAAGGATAAAAAACTCCATCCAATTACAACATGCATAGTCCCCTTTCTTTTTTCTTTCTTTTTTTTTTAACTCTCAGCCCATGTTTAACTTGGCTTAGAATGATCGTGGTGAACTCCAATTATATTCTGCCTTATTTTTTCACACAGATCAAAGTCCATTCACTTTAATGCAATTTAAAAATAATTAATATATTTTCACCACACAGGAAGCCATCAGGTCACAAATCAGAGGGGATTGTTTAAAGCCAACAATTATTTTTCTGTCTATATATCAAACCAGATGCATTTGGTTGAACACTCTCCTTTTCAAATTCATTTTAAGCTTTTCATATGATCAGTATTAGTTTTCTAAATACCTTTTAAGCCATCTTCATCAATGGCATGAAGGTGGTTGTCATTTATTTTGATTTCTTCCAAAGTTGATGGCAGTTCAGAGGGAATATGGACCAGCAGATTTCCATCCAAATACAAACGTTTTAGCTTTTTCAGGATCTGAATCATAGGGATGAAGAAGAAAACTTAGATTATCCAAGTGCTAAATATATAGTTAAATATACAGTGTAATCATAGTTAAGATTTTCTTGCACGTGGTTTTTTGAAGATTTTCAGCAGCAGTGCATTGGTATCCAGAGTCTAATTGGTTTCTTTCTGCTAAATATAAATAAATGTACCAGTTAATGCCATGTGTGACTGGAAGGGTTTGATTGAGCACATCAGCTCCCACACCATCACTGTTTGCATCATTGCTGCTCCCTGTGAGCCATGCAGGCAGTGCCTCACTGCACTACACAGCATTTAGGGCTTCAAAATGCAAACATTTATAAAGAACGTGTTTCTAACTCTTCGTTTGTGGGCAAAGCGATGCTTTTCTGTCTGCCAGCGAATTTACTCAAGGCAGAAGGGCAGCAACTGTTTCAGTAACTGAGGATTTTCGTGACTGAAGCCAGCTTAAAACATTGGTATGAAAAATTATCCCAGCTTCGTAGTGAGAAGAGCACATCAGGGTCGTGCAGTGGGAGCGTTTCTTGAGGAGATGGTGGGGCTTCAGCAGTGGGTCCAGCAAAGCCTTTTTTCATCAGTTGGATTATGAACTGCTTGGTGTGATAAAAGCTTCACTAAAATTAATTTCACACCTGAGGCACCTTCATGGTCTGTCTGTGGCATCCTCTTTGATGTCATAGGACCTGAAGCCCTTTGAAATCAGCCCAGCCTGTTGCTGTTACACGGAGGGAGGTGCTGGACAGTCCTGCAAGAGCACTGAGTGCGCGTGGCAGGGAACAAAATTAGACACATACCATGATAATCCAATTTGTTATTCATATGCCTTTTGTACTCATCCTGCCTGAAAAAGCAAGGCCTCAATGCCTGACTTCCACACCTGAATTACCACCTGCTTTGGGAGGAATTATTATGGGGTTATTCTGTCTTCAAGTGAGGAATATGTAGGTGCACTTGAATATCCTGTTGTCATGTAAATTCCCTTGGCAAGGCAAAGGCTGAATATAGAAAGGCTTTGGACTATTTAATGAGAAAGCTGCTCTTTTAATAAGCAGCTGTGCTTGAAAGTTTCTCATTAATGTAATGAGAAAGAGGATACATAAATTAACAAGTGTTGAACCTGAGTAATCCGGGCGCGTTCAATGGAATTGGAGCCCTTCAATGAAGTCTCTCAATTGCAATTGATGAAATAACCAAAAATTGTCTATCTTTTTGTTTAACATTTAATACTTGGTGACTGTCATTTATAAATTCCTAGATATTCTTGATTATGATGAGAAATTTATTGGAGTCGCCAGGTTTAACTGTATTGTAATTATAGAATGGTTACTTGTGAGAGGTGCAAACCGCTTTAGATCCATAAACTGAAAAGCAGGAAAAACATTCCTTTGAAGCAGTAATTAGTGAGAGGATGGTAGAAGAGTTAAGATTTCTTACTTTGAATGCTTTTGGACCTATGCCAGGGGAGGTAATGTTATTTTTACTCAGATCAATCCATTCCAAGTTAGGCACCCCGTTGAATGCTTCGTCTGAGATAGTGGTGATGCTGTTTCCTAGGGCAGAATTCAGGAAAAAAGTCTGAGTTATGAAATGCAGTCTGCATCTGAGCTGTGTAATATTGTACCTGGAAAATACGTTACAGAAATAGTTTTGTACAGTAACCGTGTGAGATATGTTCATATAACATTAGCAAGCAAATCTGGCATTTTTAATTTACTGGTTTGGAGTAAAATTCAATCCAGTACATTTTGATGATAAGGAGCAAAAAAGAATTACAGTTCTGTTGACTGCACTTGCGTGTGAATAATGTTATGGAAGTCATGCAAAGTAGACCCATTAATTACCTGTGAGGTCTAAACTTGTTAGATCTGGATCTGAGATTGGTGGTATTTGTGTGAGTTTGGCATTAGTGCAGCTTACTGTGGTGTCCGAGGTGGAACATCCAGATGGCAAAGGAGGAGCTTCCACGGGTGGAACAGGAATTGGGAAATGAGCTGGAATTGGGAAAGAACCATCATCTTCATTGCTTTCATGATGCAGTTCTTCTTCTGCAGCTCCTGTTCTTGTGCTGGGCTTCTTTCCTCTGCGATGGCCTCTGTGCTTCTGGCGATTTCTTTTGCCTTTCCTTTTTCTTTTCTTTTCACCTTTTCTATGACCCTCTTTAATCTCTGTCACTTCTGTTGGAAGCAGTTCATCCTTTCCAGTTTGAGTTTGTGCTGATGGCAAAACGCTACTGGTATCAAGGTCAGTGGGTTCTGGAGAGTCACCAGACAACTCACTGATGTCATCCAGTGAAACAATACTTGAATCCAAAGAGGAACCTGAGCAGACAAGTGAGAACACAAAAAAACCAAACCAAAACAACACAAAAGAGTCTGATAAGAAACTAAAATTTCAGTGAACATTGTTTCCCACATATAGGAAATATATAATGGGTATAGAATATATTCCTCTTAGAATAAGGTTTGAAAGAATGAAAATGTGGTCTTAGGTTGCTGCTTGACCAAAGAGAAATACTTTACTGAGAACTGGTTGAGCTAACCCTACAGAACAGTCTGTACACAGGTGTGATTTATGGCAGCTCCAGAAAGAAGGTGAGAAAATTAATATTGCCTTCATTGTCTTCCTTTCTGACCTAATATTAGTTAGTTTTTTGTGTTGAGGGAGGTGTCTAAAGAGGAAAAATCGTATTTCTGGGAGTGGGAGGTAATTCAGATAAAATTCACAAAGGTTAAGGCTTGTTCTCTGCAAGGGACTGTCAGGTGAGGAGTTGGCTGCAGGTGGGGATCTCACCAGGGGGATGCATTAACTCCATTACCAGGATGCAGTTTTTACTTGCATAATAAGGCAATTCTAATAAAAGGAGTTTAATTGTTTGAATCAACACGACTCCTAGTTCTGCAGTTAATTCCTGTGGTGTCTCAGAGTATTTCAGTGTCACATGCACACACACACGAGGCTAAATAGCATTATTATGGTAAGAGCAGGTTGAGTTCAGTACTTTGCAGACATAGGATACTGGGAGTGGGGGAAAGAAATCACATTTCATCTCCTCCATTCCTTTTCTTTTTAAAATTACTAACTTTATTTAAATGTTCATAGAGAAGCAAGATCATAGTTCTGTCGCTCCTCTTGTGAGTTGACTTTCTTATCTTGATTTATATCAAATAGGTGCATGTTTTTACACTCCTGGCAAAGATTGGCCCATCTGGATATCTAATACATTAACAAATGACCAGTAGTTATTGATGGATCCTTTGTAAATGGAAGTGGGAGAGAAAACACAAGGTGTTATTTCTTCATACATTAACAAAATTTTGTAAAGGCAAGAGGGAAGAAGCAGAAAGGGGGAAATAAAAATTGCTATTGCATACTTAACATCTTGTATTTAAATGTTGTATCAAACTCATCTAACAACTGGTGTACTCTGAGTAGAAATGATGATGACCTGCTCTTACCATGCAGTTCAGGACAATGTGTACCTCTAACCCTTGACATCATTAAATGGAGCTTTGCTATGAGGTAGTTTTAAAACAGTAAACAGGTGGTGTTTCCATACCAGTCTCAGAGCAAACTGGGCAGCATTCCCCTTGGGGTATGATGGTGTGGGGGCATTTCAAGGGGTGGCACAGGGCTGTGTCACAGATCACCTCTCCCTTGGAGCACAGGCAGGTGACGCAGGGCTTGGGCGACCAGACGGCCTTGTCGAACATGATCATCCCGTTGGCCGTGCACTGCCCCTTCCTCCCTGGGGACAGAGCACAGGGAGCTGGGGTCAGACAGCTTAGACTGACAGCAAACCAACATTTAAAACTTGGGAAGGAAGCGCTGCTGCTGAGGGGCTTTGGCACAGCAGCTCCTCTTTCCTCCCCACCCTTCGGAGGAATCGCAGATCTCAGTGGAAGTTGGGCACAGCTGAGAAAGAAGCAAGTTTTCCTTGTAGTTAAAAAAAGTCATGCAGAACTGGAATATTTTTACAGGCCTCCTCCTGTTTCTCTGTTGTTCACTGGGCATCTTTTCTTTATGCCTTGTGTATTAAGTAAGAAAGTTTTGTTAAGGCTCTGGAACCAGGAAAGCAACAATATTTAAGTTATAGCTACACTTCATAGGCTTGATGGAAGTCAAGTTCATTCTGTGATGACTGGTGGGATGGCAAACATCTCCCCTCCTCTGTAATTTCCTTTATCTGAAACAAGCCTGTTTACTAGGAAAGTAGCAGGCTAGAACAACTTGTGCTAATAAATACCTACCTCCAAAGTTTCTGGGCATGAATCTACAAAAAGGAGACTTCCCCAGGTTACCAGTTGAAATTTTCAGCAAGAAATGTAAATTCTAAATTCCTTTTGTAAGCTCTACCCAGATATTCAGTAGGCAAGACATTTGGAGAGTGTAAAGACTTGGGAAGGAAACTAATCCAAGTCCCTTTCCTTCCAGTGGTGGAGTTTACCCAGCAAAGGTTTCCCTGGGCAGTTCTCACCCCCGCTCCAGGGTAAACATTGCACTTTAGCACAGTGCTTTTCTTTTTGGTCTTTTGAGACAAGGACAGCCAAGGCTGAGATTGTTCATCCCATGCAGGTCTTGCTATTTTTGAGTGCACCTCTAAGTGTGGTGAGAATCTGAACTCCCTCCCTACCTTCCTTTTCCTCTCTAATTACCCTGAGAATGCGTTGCTGAGGTGTTGTTTCAAGCTGAAAATCCATTTCTAAGTTACTTTGTACTTCCCTGCATATGAAAAAAAAAAAAAAGTCCTCTTTTCCTATTCAGTTTGACTTCCTCCTTCGGATGAAGGCTGTGTAATGCCCTGGAAAAACCTTATCTCATCTGAATTTGTGTGCCAAGGGACTTTCATTTGTGATACCCCAATTGTCTTTGGAGGGTTTGTTTGCAGGGTTTGTTTTCCCCCACTCCACCCTGGTCCATGCCTGGTTGTTCGGTTTTAAGAAGAGTACTCAGGATAGCCTGGAAATGTCCTTGCAAGATTATTGTAAATATTAGGTTTGAAGTGGAATTAATATTTGTCTCAAAATGAGGCATTTTGCAAAGTCCTTCAAGGCAGTCCTATTGTCACCTTCATAGCAAAGGTCTTCTTTTGCCCTTGTGTTTAGAGACCATTGGATATGAACCTGTTTCTAGAATAGAAATTAATTATCAGAATCATCCAGTTTGGATGTTCCTCAATATTCCGTATATTTTAAAAAAAAATGCTTTGGTCTAAGTTGTTCTCAGGATGGAAAAAGCGAGAAATTAATGTTTTGAACAGTTGCATCTTGTTTTTTTCTGGGGTCTGGGATATCTGTGCCTCATTTCAGCCACTTAAATTGTGCTCTAATCAACTCAAACCGTGTTGAGTGGAGGAGGAGAGGCCCAGGCCAAGTGTTGGTTGGCTCTCAGTCCCTTGTCACTCTACCCAGGTATCTGTCATCCAGCTGTTTGCTGGATCCTGACTTCTGGTTTTTATGTGCTTGCCAGGAAGCCACAATACTTCTTTTAAATAATCTCCAAAGGAAACACAAAAGGAACGCTGCACTTTCTCATGTTAAACAATAAAACATCAGCTGTTCCAAGAGGAGAACGATCTGGCTCGAGGAGGAAATTCCTCTGGGCTTCCTAAAATTCTTTAGGTTGTTTTAGCTACTGGACTGCACCTGAAGTTGGTGCAAATCTGTCTGAATAAGCATAAAGATGTGAGTTATCAGTTTGGCCTCTGCAGTCCTGCTCTGCTCTGCTTAATGGACAGGCTGCAAAGGACAAACAACTGCAAATGTTGGGGTGAACTGTTTCATTTCATTTAAATACTCACATGATTTTTACCTGGAGGAAGGAGATGTGTCTGGTTACTGTAAAAAATAAAACCTCCATTTAACTGTTAATTTTCATTCTGCATGAATCTGTAAATTTTTTTTTTTTTTTTTTTTTTAGGTTACTAAGAGCAAAACAAGTAGCTAAGATAATTGAAATTGAGGTTTGGATTGCATTTTCTTCTATTCTGGAACATGATTAATAATAGTGCTCTATTATTTAATAGGCTCTGTTTTTTCCAAATCTGACATGAACTTGAAAAAATTTTGAACTTTAAAAGCTAGACTAAAAAATACCTTGTGGTTCAAGTCCTTGGCAGATGTGCACAGGACTTTTAACCTTTGGAAATATGGTGTAAATTCAGCGTGAAGTTCCAAATAAAATGAGTTCAGTGGTTTTAGCTCAGCTTTTGGATGCAAATCCAGATAGAAAGAAACAAGCGGGGTGGGGAGGGGGAAGAGCTGTGCATTATTTCAGCATGACTGATGGTCCTGACAGAGGCACTGGAATATCTTACATGAAGTGTGTGCTACTTTATGCGGTATTTTCCTCTGTTTAATTTTAAAAATATTTTTAAATGAAAGGTTTGACGTTAGTAATGTGTATAATATTGTAATACACACTGGAGATGCCGCAGTCAAGAGTTTTACCATTAAAATCTCTTACTTTAAAGTACTTTATTTCAAATGGTTCAGCTGTTCTGAAAGTAAGGACCCACAACAAATAATAATTACCAAGAAAATGTGGCTAAAATGTGTTTGGCCATTTGAGACCTATTAACCAGGTGGATGTGCCTCTTGTGAGGCTTAACTTTGTGCTCATAAAATAAGTTATTATCACTTGATGCAGATTAGTTGTTATCAGGACATTCTACTTTTTTTCCCAGAAGTTCATTAAATTGCATATGATGATTTCACTTAGTGTGTGATCCTTATATTTATCCATGTGCTTACATTTATTACCTGTGGAGTGGGCACAACCTTGTGTTGAGTCCTCACAACATCCCTTTGTCTTCCTTTCCTTCAACCCTCAAACTTCCTTCTAGGAAAAGAAGTGTTGAACATCTCAGTAATTTCCAATTGGTTAACAACTGTGCTTTCAGACTTGAGAAGCACTGACAGTGGTGTTCAGAAGTTGTTGTTTTCAGAGTGGAGCACTGGTTGTTAAACCTGATTTGCTGCTTTGTGAGTCGTAATTTCCCATTTGTGACGTTGAACATAAAATCACAACATCCTGGAGCGAGAGTTCTGACTTTTCTGTTGCACTGAGGACCAAAGAGACACTTCACAACTATCACTTCTCAATCCCTGACTAATCTTGTATTCTTTGAGGAGATTTAGAGAGGCCTGACACAATTACCAAGACAGGTTCCAGTAAAGATCAATGAAATTATACTTTTTGCCTGTTTGTTTTTTAAGGCATCAAATCCTCTTCCCTACCTCTCCTTCAAAAACCATAAAATATATATTAGTGCAGCAATGGGAGAACCTCTAGATCACCAAAGAGGCAAACTTTGTATAAATCATACTGTTGAACTTCTCTTAAGTAAGTTTGGGTTCTCAATATAGGTGGAGCATAAGAGTGTTCTTGTGTTGAATTGTTGGGGTTTTTCTAATGCAGGTTTCATGTTGCAGTTATTGCTGTCTGTTATTATTTACAAAGTAAAGAATTACTCCTGAAATACTGCATGTAGACATAGTGTGAGTGCTGCCTATCAAAAATAGAACAACAAAGAGTAATAGAACTTAAATTCATTTGAATTAACACTGGTGTTATTGGTGTCAATTCCTCAGTGAAATGTTAATTGACTTGGGAGATATGTCAGACAATAAATTCTTCAAAATAGTCTTCAAGCCTGTTACACGTTTGAAGTTATGCAAATACCCCAACCAATTTTTTTATTAGATAAGATCAAACAATAATGCAGGAAAACCGTGGAAAATACTAGTTACCTGGCAAAGCAGGATTCAGCTAAAAAGCCTCATATGCCAAACCACAAAAATTACCGTGAAAGGCCACGGCTCTTTAAAGGGTTTATGTGTTTCATGTCAAAACAAGAGAAAAAATGAGGCCACCCCGAGAGCAGGGGGACTTTGTTGGTACCTGGCAGGACGCTGTAGCTGGACTCGTGTTCCCCCAGACCCACGAGAGAGTCGAACACTCCCATCACGCTGTCGTCGATGTTGATGAGGGGTATCCCGGGCACAGCAGGGTCTGGGAGCTCCATCCTTGGCTGCCTCGGGAACCTCTGCCCTATTGGGGATCCCCTTGCCAGGCGCATCCTCCTCCCCTGCCTGCTGGGAAGGGCACCGGCTCCACTGGCACAAACATCAACGCACAGAGAGACGAGCAGGAAATAATAACACACCAGGGGTGTCGCCTGCATGGCCTTGTGTGTCCCAGAGAGTGTCCTGGAATGGGGAAAAAAGAGGAAAATGAGATACCTGCAGAGCTTTTAGGACTATGGTAGGGCACTTCTCAGAGCAGGTGGGGAGCAATGTATGGGAGGAATGGCCAAGCTTCCCCTGGGAAAGAAATGGCCCTGTGAGGCCTGAAGTCACTAATCTGAATTTATGGGTTCTCTGCCCTCACGGGCAATGGTCAGACTCAAATAGGTGCTGGCTTTGGGGTTGCATTTGAAGGGATGGTGTGGATTTGCAGGGCCAGCAGGCATTTGCGATTCCATAGTTGTTACTGCTCCCAGCAGTGGAGCTCTTGGGAGTTCTGTAAGGTGTTCCTTCCCTTGTTTTTGATTGCTAATGTTTCTTCCAGATTGTTGTAACTTCTGAACATGGGAATGGTAAAGTAACAGAAAAAACACCCTATTTATTTCTGATGTGGTGCCCCAAGTGCTTTTGGTTTGGCATTTCTGTGTAGGGGATTTTTCATCGTAGATGAAGAGATGCCTTCCATTTCTGGCCATCCTCTTCTCCAACAGGACCTGTTTGGCTCTGCAGAGGAGACCTTTGGGAAGTTTGAGCACAGTAGTGCCGTTCCCCTGTTTTTATTAAGCATGGGCAGTCTAAAGAGGTTGATCTGTAATGGGTCGTGCTCTGCATTGACTTTTTAGCAAAATCAGAACAATTGTGTGTCTTGAGCCTTCTTATGGTCGTGACAGAAAAATTACATTTACTGTCACCAATAGGTGGCATTCCAAAACAGAGCAGCCAGGATTCAGGAGCGTGCAGAGGCAGCATCTCCAGCAGGGGATTTGCTGCACCAGTGTGGATATAGGGCCCTGCATGTCCAGGGTTATCAGTGATCTGTCAAAGCTGTTGCATAATTCTTCCCTGAAGGAAACTCTCTTGGCCTGTGGCCCATTTTAACTGAGACAGCAGAGACAGAAAACACTCGTGTTCCTGTGGTGGTGAGAATTAGTGAAGAACTTGAGGCCTGGAACTCTTAATCTTTGTGGCCAAGACAAGGCTTAGAGCATGTCCATGGTTCTTCTCTGAGGAAACCTTGAGGGGATTAAAAACTGCTTTTTCTTAATGTTCATCAGTCTGGCTTTATATTGTCAACTTTATATTTTATAAATACAAGATAGTTTCGTTTCAGGAACTTGAACTGTGGTTTTGCCTGCATCAGATTTTGTTAAAAAGCTTGTTCATCTTGGTATTTATATAACAGATCAAGTTTTTGGTACAACTTTTGTTTTTTGCCTAGCTGTTCTTTAACATAAGACACATCATTGATTGCATAGTTTTCATTCTTTCCAGAACATAATTCTCATATTTCTTTTTATTCTCACATTTTAAAATGGGAAGTTGGGGGGAAATAAGCTGAAGACAGAATGCATTTTACTTCTTTTTAATATTGTCGTTTCTGGGCTCAACTATTTTAGCTTTAAAACGTTATAGGAAATCTGGATATTAATTTGCAGAATTTGAAGTTAATGTTTTTGTTTCCATATAAAGGGGATTTGAGAGTGCAAATGTCTCACACAAATCCTCACAGCATCTCATGTAAGGGCAGGGTTCTGAAATGAATCCAGTCTTGAGTTTGCTGCTTGCTACCCATCCGAAACCAGTCATTCCAAAATGCCAGATAGACTCTCTACTGGGCTTTTATTTACAGAAATCACTGTTAATTAACATATCAGATAGATATAGGACCTTGTGCTTGCTCTGCACTGAAAATGCCTGTTCTTATTCAGAAAGTGCTCATTTCTGAGCACCTCAGAACAAATGACCTCATGCTTTGGTTTCTGACTTGCTCGGTAATGACGGGCTATAAAATTACACAGTAAACTTTGTGTTCTCCACAGCTCTGCCCCAAACACACAAAGAGCCCTTGGGGAAAAGGGAATGTAAAAGGAAAAGTCCTGGCCACGTGTGTTCGTTCTGTCGAGTTACTGACATCTTAATTATGGGCACATTTTTCTAGGGGACTTTATAATCACGCTGTAGTCACAATGCTGCTGCATTGCAGTTGGGTTTTTTAATGGTTAACCATTTCTTCCTGTCACCAGGGGCACATAATGGCATGACTGAAATACTTTCCCATTCTCCATGTATTTTTAAAAGTCAGGAATAATATGGGGTGAATTATATTTACTGTACAAAAGATGTTTCGCTGTGAGCTTCAATAAAAGGTAAAATTCTGTAGTAAATCAAGTTATCTTAAAAGTGACACATCTTTTTTATAAAATACTTTATAAGTACAAGCAAAAAACACCCTCAAAAACAAAACAACAGAAAATACATACCATACCCAGCCAAATAATATGTCTTTATACACTAATCCTCTTCATATATGTGAGTTTGTATGCTATGTTTTCACACCAATTTAACTCTTCAGCACTGAAAGCTTAATATTGCTATTTTCTTTGCATGCAAAATACTGGGCTACTGAGTTTCTTTCTTTTGCCTATTTAACAGGTGTTGTCTCACGTTTTAAGGCCCAAATTGTGAAAGGCCCTTCAGGGCACTGGGCCTTTCCTGGCCAGGATTGGGATCCTCAGATCATCTGTCAGGAATTTATATTTAGTACATGGCCAGCCAACTTTTGATTTGGGGAAAATTCAGCCTATTCGACTTAGGATTTTTGTAATAAATGATTACATGGTAAAATAAAATTATAGATAGCCAATATAATGAATTTATGATATGTTTGTGTTGCCAGATACTCTCAACGTGGCTGCATTGCTATACATTTTTTATTTTACCCCAAATGTTTAATCAGGCACAGTATGTGAAGGCATCTTTATTATCTTTTTTACCATGTGTTCAGTAGTTTGTAGCTTTCAAAATGTTTCAGTAAGTTCAGTATCTGTCATTTTGCTGTTCTGTTAATGGAAGTAGTTAATTTCTAAAGGAGAGACCCTTTAGAAATCCCAGAGTATCCGAATTTTTAAAATAATCTATTTTTATCTATTCAGTCTAAATTCAAACATGTTTCTAAGATGTCAGCGTTATTTCTCATGACACACAGGGCTTAAAGTGCTTTACCAAGGTTTTTCACATACTCTTTAAATGTATTGCATAGAAATGAGTTACATTTAGCCAAAAACCAATTGCACTTTCCATTAGTTTAAGTTGGATGTGCAGATTAATGTGGCAGACATTAACACAGAACAAGCAGATCAACTTCATCTAGAAAAGCATTTATGTCCAGTACAGCTAAATATTAGAACTCACGTTATTTCACACATATTTGCAAAGTTAACACGAAGTTCAAGCCATTCAACACCATGCTTTAAGCAGTAATTTAAAATGGAAAACATTTTTACCTTGTAATCTAACCTAACAGCAGACTCTGCTTGCTGTCATTTAGTCTCCCCGCTGCAAATGAAACAGAACCCCCGTGATAGCTTTGAAACAAACAGAGAAACGCTTGGGGTTGTTGAAACATGTGAGATGATTCCTTGAGCTGGGTCTGGAATAGCTCCTTTCCCTGGGGGCAGACGCTGCTCAGCTCTGTGTGCAGAGGATCAGCCCGTGCTGGTGCTCGGAGCGCTCAAACCTCGCTCCGGGCAAAGGAAAAGCAGCACAATGAGCTCGGTCCGGAGGCTGACAAGGCACAGCTGGGAATCCTCTGCCAGCACTTACAGTTGCATAAGGAAGGGGAAAGTGGAGTGTTTTCAAAAGAAACAAACAAAAAAAATGTGTATTTTATTCTGGGTTATGGATTTAGAGCTTCAGTTTCCAAGTGGCATGGCTTTAATGTAGATTTGTTTAAAAGAATAAGATATAATACATTTTGTCAAATGTAACCTTGACGTAAAGACATTTATTATAGTTAGAACTTTTTTCTACAATTCATATTTTCTTAATCCACTCCTGCCCTTGAAGCCTGTAATCTCTGAGCAGCAAACCTTTCTGTTGAAGTTTTAGCCTGGAAAATGTTTCTTTTGTCCACTTACAGCGATGATTTCACCATAAGTCGCAGCTTATGCATGGAAAATAAAACAACCAAAGCGCTTTCCCTTCATTTTTTTTTTTTCCTTTGTAAGGCTAATTACATCCTGAAACATGATCCTGAAGCACAGCTCTGCAGAGCTGCAGTGAAGTCAGGAATCCAAGGGGGAGAAGTGAGCGTGAGGGAAGGGAGGGAATAAATGTACGTTACCAGCAGAGCTCGGTGTGCCAGCAGAGCCTCTTCCTGTGTCTGCAGAGCGTCCGGGTGGGATGGGTGGGATGGTGGGTCTACTGAGCTTCAGAAGTGACAAATTTACCTGGGAGACAGAGTTGTCTGAGCTCTTCTGACATTAAAAATTTGTTGTTTGCTTGAACTCACGCTCTGAGGAATATTTAGACAGATAGTCATGGACTGGTATAACCATTGAGTTGACCATAATTGTTGGCAGTGTGTGGTGGAAAGATACTGGGAAAACACATTGTCTCTTAAAATAGTCATTCACTTCCTACTGTGCTCTGCTGTGCAAAGGCAAGAGAAGGAATATTAAACTTTTGTAGTTTATCTGGAGCTGTTGAAAAGGAATGGAGACAGTCACACCTAACAAATGGAGGTGGCATCCGAAACGATGCCAGGCTCAGGAGCTGTGCTGAAAGCATCGGTCTGTGAAGGGCGAGTCGAACAGTTCTTTGAAAGCAAGTGGGGAAGAGAACAGCAAATTAGATCATCTTGTCAGGGGTGTGCATGTCAGGTGAAAGAGTTTATGTGTTTAAACAATGGTGTATTTACTAGCCATAAAAGTGACGGCATTCACTTCAGTGTATGTTTAAATGCAGCTTCTCATGCTTCTGATGCCTTTGTGCACGTGAAGCTCTGGTTCTGTGCATCTGCTTTGGATGTGGCATCTCTGATCATAAATTCTAGTAGGTCCTTGAAGCTGGACTTCTTAGCTTTTGTCATCTCTGTAGTTTTTGAAAGGTCAGGATCTTCCAGCAGCTTTCCAGAGCTGAGAGGGGCACAGTCTTGTCTCTGCTAGATCATACAGGGAAAATCCTGAACCCTCCAAGCAGACTGAAGGATCTCTGAAGATCGACACCTCTCTTATGAAGACAGGCTGAGAGAGTTGGGCTGTTCAGCCTGGAGAAGAGAAGGCTTTGGGGAGACAGAACCCTTCCCAGTGCCTAAGGGGTTTCCAAGAGACCTGGAGAGGGACTCTGGACAAGGGCCTGGAGTGACAGGACAAGGGGGAATTGCCTTAAACTGAGGAGGGCAGACTTAGATTAGATATTAGGAGGAAATTCTTCCCTAGGAGGGTGGGGAGGCCCTGGCACAGGCTGCCCAGAGAAGCTGTGGCTGCTCCATCCCTGGAAGTGTCCAAGACCAGTTTGGACGGGGCTTGGAGCAACCTGGGCTAGTGGAAGGTGTCCCTGCCCATGGCAGGAGGTTGCAATGGGATGATCTTTCAGGTCCCTTCCAACCCAAACCATTCTGTGAATCAGTAAGAGTCCTGGAAGCGTCACAGTTCTGGTGGTGTCCATGTTTAGCCTTCCTTTTGGGTGCCTTTAAGTCACTTTTCTCCTCTAATTTGCAGACCAAAGTAAAGTTTCTCCTATATTGTATCTGGTGCCATTAAAATATCTAAACAAAAGCCTGTTGCACTGAACAAATAAATAATGTCATCTGTTCTCCTTCATCCCTCTAATTACCTGCAGTCAGTGTGGCTGAAATCATCTCTATGGCCCCTAGTACCAAAAATTCAGCCACGTGAACCCATGACATTTAGTTGGAAAAGCTGTTGTCTGAGAATGGATATCATCTGCCACCTTTCAATAAGATTTAAATCTACGTGTAGTTAATAATTAGATATTGGTTTTAATCTTTTTATTTACCTTAAAATCTTCCACATGAGCTTGCCTGTCGTAATAACTGAAGAAAAAACACTGTGTATTCTGCTAAACCTTCAGACTGGGATGTCCTTGCAAATGATTTTGGACATGGGGCAGTTCAGGCAGTTTCTGTTTGAGTGAAAAGCACTGCTGTTTCCTCAGGGATCTAATCCTTGCTGTGTTTATGGGAACAGTTGACTCTGAGAGCAGAGCAAGGTGTCAGTCCATGCTTCATGGGCCTGTACTTTGTGCCAGTCTATCCCACACGCATGGCCAGGCACTGGAATGGGCTGTGCAATGGGAATGTTACAACCTGTTAAGATGCCTTAATGTGGAGTGGTCTCCTTTGAGGGAAGAAGAGACACAGAGTAAGCAGTGACTAATAATTAGAGTAACTTTTTATTACTTTATACCTTAGAGCAAACTGCCACTGTTGGTTCGTGTTCTGAGCAAGAGCCATAGGATGTGAGAAATGGATGTGGGAGCCTGGAGCCTCTGGCACAGATTCTTCTTAAAATATAGGCTGATCTCTTTTCCTTAAAGCTTGTTCTTTGTAGAGGGACAAGGCTTTCCCTCTTGCTTTGCTGAAATTGTGGCAATTATTCCAAGGGAATCTTCTTCAGTCAAAAAGAGGGAATAGAATTTGGTTTGGCATCGGGCTTGTTTATAGTGGCTACAACAGTTTCTCATAACATCTCTCACTGTACCTATTAGATGACAACCAGTGGTGGCAAAGGGGGTTTTTGAGCAATTCAACACAGTTGAAATAAATTTGGTTTTTCTATCTCTTCCTCAAAAGACCTGCTTTTCAGACACTGATCTAAATCTCACTTCTGTGGATCCCAGGAGTTAGGGCAGCAACACTCACAGACCCCACGCTGGTATAAAGTTATGGTTTTTGAAATTTTAGGTATTTCTAGTAGTTGTAATCTGTTCACTGTTCCTGATGGAGTTTTCTGATCTGTTGCCACATGAAGTAGAAATGAAATAAAGAATGAGGATCTTTTAAAAACTATCCTGGGGGAGTGTATAAGAGCAAGTGGGCCTTTTAAGCACGTGCCATATGGATGTTGTGAGCAACCTGGTCAGGGCAATATGGAGCAACAGCAGGATCCTTCCTTCTGGGATCCCAACAGAACTTGTTCCCCTCAGGGTAGTGTAACTATAGCCCTGTGTCCCAAAAGGTTGGATTTCTTAAGTAGTGATGCTCTTGGCACAGAATGGATTGAGGCACAGACTTCAGATGATGTGTGTATATATATTTATATACATATATATATATATATACTCAACTGATTCCCACAGAGTTTTGGAACTACATCCACCATCAATGTTGTGTTGCTCTCCTCTGCATCTGTGTGTTTGCAGCCATTTCCTGAGACAGCAATATTAGATAAAACTTGTTTTCTTGTGATATCTACCCCTGTGCTATAGGGGAATACAAGAATAGTTGTCAACTAGCAAATAGTATTTTATGATCTTAAGGAATTGCTATTCCTTTATTCCTTTTCCTCCCCTTTTCCCCTCATTTTCTCATGCTTTCTCATGTTTTACTCTGTTGTTTACAGAAGGGCTGTGTTGAAGTTGGATCCGTTATTTAATTTATTCCTAAAGCACTGATGGAAATATTATCTTTGTGAGTCAAAAACCACACCCACAGACAGGAATGTAAAGCTATTCCTGCTTTGTTCAGGAATTGGAAGGAAAGGAGACAGCACTGAAGATTACAAGCAGTTCTTTTTTTAACCTTTCAATGAAATAAAAGAATGGAATGTTTTGGTTGTTTTTTTTTTAAAATTTCTTTACTCTTAGTTGTCATGATGGATCTTTGCAGTTGCTGGCTGGTTTTGATCAGAGACAGAGCTGGAATCCTAAACTTTGAAATTACTCATGTGGTTTGTTGTTTTAAAATCAAACACAGGAGTTTATAGTTGGAAAAAAAATAGCAATGGGGGCAAAAAATGTATAACTTTAAAAGAAAAAGTCGGCACAAAACACGAGATGCTGAATTTGGGACTGGCATTTCTGAAACCTGCAGCAGTTACTGCATTCCTTGTTGTAATCAGTGGTCACAGATATCCTCAAGGAAAAAAAAATATAGGAAAAGAGAAAATGTTGCTGGTAAACCTGGAGAGATTTAAACACAGATTTTCCTCGTGTGTTTAGGAATGTTACCAATACACTGCAAAAGGCACTGGGTACTTCTTTAGGTGGGAATAAGCCTAAAATTGCAATATGAGGTGTTTGTAGCTGGGATCTGTTTACCTAAGAAAGCCTCATTTTCCACTGTAGCTGCATCCCAATTCCAGTTCTTTGCTGCAGTGAACGGAATATCTAAAATATTAGTTCATTATTCAGATTGATTCATTAGCATTCACTTTCTGAGGGCTCTAATTATTGCCACAACATTTCCATTCGCTCCCATGTTTAGTCCGTGGTGGGTTTTTCTCACGTTTTATCTAAAATGCCAATGAACAGACAGATGGAAGGAATTTCTAAAGCCTTTCTTCAGAGCTACCTGAATTTTGAGGCCAGTGTGCTTCACTTGTTGCCTCTAAATGTGAGCACTGGTGAAGAAATTCAGTCGAATTTGTGTTATATCGTTACCTAAAGCCTGTTCCCCGTGATGTCCCAAAGCAACTTGAAACTTTAAACCCCTGGCCAGTATAAGTATGTAAACATGTAAGAGTTCCCCTGTCCTTCTGTCTTTCCTTTCAAATAGAATAACTTCCCTTTTTGGG